AGTAAAAATAGCCCCCATGGGAAATAATGCAAGTAGTATTGAAGAACAGTTGGTTTTGCCATTTGGAATCCATTTATCAATTACCATGGTAATTGATACTGAGATAGATATAGATATTCCTCTCTACTTAACACTGATTTGTCTATACTCTTCATGAAGTTTAAAGTGGTGTATCCCAATAAAATTTGTTTGTCATGCGCATGAGGGGTTAAAAGGAGTCTGTGGAAATGTGGGTCATATCTTGAAGGAAACAAAACCAGGCTGTTTGCTAATTACATGTCTGAACTATTTCCTTAGGGCATTAAGCTTTCTTCAAATACTATCACATTATTAGTTCTAGGTCAAAAGTTATTCTTATAAATTTCACAGTGTATGGGCTGGAGAAATGGTTCAGTGAGGAAGAGTGCTTGTTGAGCAAGATGTAGACCAAAGTTCAGATCCCCAGAACTCCCTTAAAACTTGGAAGTGTCTAGAAGTACCTACAACACCAGGCATGGGGTGAGGGTGACCAGAAGACAAATGAGGCATTTGGGCCACCAGCCTAACTAAGCCACCTAGCCAACCTGGTAAGCATCAGGCTCAGTAAGAGATCCCGTCTCAAGCAAACAAAATGGAGCACGATAGAGCAAGCCAACCAGTGTCCTCTGACTTCTCTATATGTGCAACAATGCACACACATACAAATATGCCTTCAATGGGCACATTCAAATCCTATGTGTAATTTGTAATCACTGGAAATCACAGACATATGTTGAAGTATTTGTCTACCCTCAGAAAAGGAATAGTTTATCCAGTGCTCTTGAGTTTATTACAAGTAAGAAAACAGTCACACTTTTTAGTTAATGGGTAGAAAGAGGAGCCTAGCTTTGCATATATGACTAGCATTTGAGACAATCATGAAGGGAGTCACTCTGCTGTGCTGTCAGCCTTTGTCTATAGGTCAACACTTCCTTGGAAAAAGCCATCATCCCGTGATCACAGTAGTGAAACTGTTCAATAAGCAAAGAGCTGAGTAAGCAGTGGTTAAATGAAGAGAAGATCAACAGTTACTGTGAAGTATTGTGGTGTGTGTGTGTGTGTGTGTGTGTGTGTGTGTGTGTGTGTTGCTGTTGTTGTTGTTGTTGTTGTTAATAAAACCCAGGGTACTGTGCATGCTAGGCAAATGTTCTACCACTGAATAGTACCTCTAATTAAGAACAGTTACTTTAAAACTTACTTGTATAGATAAAACCATCCTAAATCACTGTTATTAATTCCCATTGCTATTATTTTATCAGAATTCTTGAATTATTGGAACTTAATAGAGCCCACTAACTCATTCTATTTTTACATTGTATACAGAGCGTTGGTAAGGCATTTTTCCAAGTTCCCAGTACAGAGCCATACAAAAGGACAAAGAATGGGTGTGGAGGGTCTGTAGTAAGGTTACCTCTAAGGGATTGGACTGGCCTGGTCTCACAAACTGTAATCAGCCAAGGTTTCTTCTCATGACAAAGACTCTCACTAAGGAGAAATCTGCCTAGAACAGGAAGACAGAAAAGTAAGGAAACAGGAGAGGCCTGATAACTTTACATTTGTACTCATAACCTACACCTGCTAAATTAATTAAGCCATTCCCCAAGCTACACAACATTCCCTCTTCCTTGTGTATAAAAAAGTGGTCAGGTTGATAGAAGTGAAGACACTTTTTGTACTCCCAACACACACACACAGCCCTATGCCTTATTCAAATATATCCCCCCTCCCTCTTTATCTTCTAAGGGAAATATGATACTCAAACTTGCCTCCTCTTTGTAATACTAGCCAAGCAATCTGCCTGAAAATTCTACGGTTTCTACCTTTCAGTATATCCAGATTTAGCCACTGGTCCTACTTCCTTGCCACCTCCCTGGTTCAGGCTGACATCATTACTCACACCGACTGCCAAAAAGAGCTCAGGCATGCATCTCTGCTTCCTGCATCCCTGGTGCCCTTTAGAGTCTATTTTGAGTATATCAGTCAGACAGATGCCTTTAAGACATCAGTCAAGTCACACTACTCCTCTGTTCAGAGCTCTCCAAGGGCTCCGGTATCTTTTAGAGAAACAGCCAGAGTTCTAACAATGGCCACCAGGGACCCAAACATCCAGGATCCCCATGACCTTTCTGCCTTCACCGTCTGTCATATTCCCTGGTTCACTTGGCCTTCAATCCCACAGCTCTCACAAGCATGCCTCACACCAGCCAAGTCTATCTGGCCTCAGGACCTTTGTACCATCCGCTGTTCTGTCTAAAGAACTCCTCCCCTAAGGAACCGCAGGCTTACAAATCTCCTTCAGATACCTGCTTAAGTGTGCCTCCTCTATGTGGCTTTTCTTTCCCATTCCCCTCACTCACCACCCCTCCAGGTGCTGAGTTTGGTTCAGTGTCTGGTATGATCATCTCAAAGATAAAGACAGAGCTGCTGGCTTTGCTCAGTACTCCATCCTCAAACTGGACTCCTGAGAGAATCCAATGGATACAGGGCAGACTCTCGGCAAAGGTTGCATAAATCGGTTAATAACTTAGCGAATCTATTTCACTGATCTGAGGCTAGAAGCTAAAATGATCTGATAATGTCAGAACAGTAACATAGAAGTACTGTGTTTCCATGGAACTGCAGATTCCCTCCATTGGCTGAGGACACCACTACAGGGACCAGAGCTCAGACAAGAAGTCAGGAGTACACATGCCAGATGCTGTGGTTGTACAACTAACCAGCAGCAAGCGCTCCATTAGTTTTTGTCTTCCTAGGAAGAAGGAGCCTCAACTGAGGAACTGCCTCTATCCCACTGGCCTGTGGGCATGTCTGCGGTGCATTCTTTAAATTGCTAATTTATGTAAGAGCACCCAGAGCACCTAGGGATGAGGAGCGCCATCCCTAGACAGGTGGGCCTGGGCTGTATATGAAAAGTTGCTGAACAAGCCAGAGGAAGCAAACCAGTGAGCACCCTGGGTCTCTGCTTCAGTTCCTGCCTCTAGGCTCCAGCTTGAGTCTGGTTTTACTAGATGGCGGGCTGTGAGCTGTAAACCAGATTAAACCCTTTCCTCCACAAGTTATTTTGGTCTGTGTTTTATCACAGTAACAGAGAAACAAACTACAGTGTCCCGTGGAGAACAGCCTAAAACTCTGACAGAAGAGGCCTCGGAATCTGGTACCCTAAAATGGTACTAAATAAATGACCTAATAGAAGAGGGATCCCAGTTGTCCCCAGTGTTAGGATTCAGGCATTATGCTGGCCTGCCCCCTGTCACCTGGCAGAATGCACTCAGGCAGTGCCCTGGGCAGCCCAGGGTCCTATGGCTGCTGTGTCATTACATAGTCTGCAGGCAGGTGCAAGTTTTCTTTAAGAGGCAAACTCCACCCACCTCCTCTCACTCTTTCCGTTATCTCTCTGAGGTGTCAGAGAGATCCCTGTCTCTCCCCCTCTTTCTTTTCTCTCTCTTTTTCTTCTCTCTCCCCTCTCTCTCTCTCCCTTCCCCCACTCCCTTCCCTTCCCAATGAAACTTCCTTCCCATGTAAGTTCTGCCTGATGGCATGTGGTGTTGTTCCCCCCCTCCCGACGATAGTACGCACCACAGTACCATCTTAAGACACATTCCTAACACCCATCCCAAACCTAAACAAGGAAGGAACTCCCAAAGGCACAGGTGGACTCTCAGAGGCAGCAGAAGTGAAAGAGGGAACTCCAATGAACTTAGTCACCCTTTCTTCTGCTATAAAGGGGGCCCGTGACAGAAGTGAAGTGGGCATCGCCTGGGTCTTCCAGAATCATACCCCAAGACCAGGATCCCACATCGGGAGGGGACATTTCACCTATCTCCAGACTGCCAGATTAAAGCGCCCCTAGTGGTGCGGGATGACAGCCAGAAGGGAATAAAGGCAGAGCTTTCAGGAGCCCCTCTGCCCTGAGGGTGCCACTCCAACCTTAGGGGGTGGGGACAGGAGACTGTCCCAAGCTAGAGGAAAGATCTGGTGCTGTAGACCTAGGCCTTTGCCTGGCTGTGGGAGAAGGGGAAGGACACACACAGACACCCCGCTTTTCTGATGGAGCCCTATCCCCAATGCTGCTCTTTCCCTCCCCCAGGCCCCTTCCCCAGGCATCTTCCCTCTCCCACCTGTTTGCATCTTCTTCCTGGTGCAGGGGAAGTCTCTGCCACCTTTCACTCCTGCTCAGGAAGCTTTGACTGCACCTAGGGGCTGGCTTAAGTTCTCGCCACAGGTCTTGAGGCTGCCAACGGTGAGGATGGGGTTGGAGTTGAAGTTATAGACACCGTGGTGTCAGTGGGGCTGGAGGTAACGGTGTGTGCACTGTGGCAGCTCTGCCTTCTGTGTTTTACTAAAGCTGGTGGAAAGGAAATCCAGCAGAAGGACAGGAGACTGTTTTGTGAAGATAGTCCTCTTCTTCAAGCCACCGTCAACTTGCAGCTGGTCAGCAACTGTGCAGTGTGTTTTCTAAATGATTATAAAGCCTCATTGAATCTCATATAGAAACACACATATTGCCTTTAAAGACGGAAAATGCCCACCACTCAACAGACATGTTACGTAAGAGTTATATGAAATACAATCTATGGTCACAGTGTCACAGGACACTGGATTTATGAGGAAAATCTGTTTTCTAAAGAAAAAAATGTATAATAAATACTTCACTTTTTCCTGAGTTTCCAGGAAAAGTCTCTTGTATCCCAAGCTAGCCCCAAGGTCCTAATCCTATCACCTCTACCTCGAAAGTGTTGGGATCACAGGCATTGGGTACCATGCCTGGCTATAAAGGTTTTGAGTTGGAAAAGTTTCTCAGCACTAGATCACACCTTGACCCCCATACCCTCATCCTTGTCCTCCCTCACCCCCATGACCGAATGTGTGTCCTTCACCGAATCCACTTGAGAACACAGTCCCCAAGTTTGTCAACTGGGATGTTGGGCAGAAACAACTCACTTTAGAGGATCTGTGCTCACCTGGCCTTCCATTTCCTCCAGTACAATAGGTACCAGCAGTATGGCGCCGAGGAGTGCGTGCTGCAGATGGGCGGCGTGCTGTGCCCCCGGCCTGGCTGCGGAGCTGGGCTGCTGCCTGAACAGGGCCAGAGGAAAGTCACCTGTGAAGGGGGCAATGGCCTGGGGTGCGGGGTGAGTACTGACCACACCCAGGGGCGCCTGGAAGTGTGTTCCTTTGCTCTTGTAGATGTGCTAAGATTTTTTTGTGTTTTCCTTTTGGGCTCAGACATATTTGAACTGATGTACAGGAAAAAAATTTTATCCCTATGTCGGACTTGGCCTATGAAAATGTTTGTATTTATTTTGGGAGGAGTTGTGTGAATCTATTCTGATCTTTGTTTGTTGGGGTGTGTATTCTAAGATGTGCTGAACCTCCATGCCAGCACTTTACACTTTCTTTGCCATGTCCAACTGATGCAGTAGGGAGAGAAAGTCTCCTAGGTCACATAAAGCAAAAGCGAGGGAGGAAGTGAGTTTCCCACCCTGGCTGTTTAGAAATACTGTTTGCCTTGGCATTTCCAGAAATAAGATGAAGATTAGCGAAGAAAAACTCAAAATGCATCCGTTGTGTAAAAGCACTTTGGAATGAAAAAAACAGCACTGATGATGCCTGTTAGGGAAGCAGAATGAGGAGCAGAAAACTTTCTGAGAGGTCAAAGCAGAGCAGATCCCGCACATGTCTCCATCCATCAAGGGGTAGCTATTCCAGTCTCCAAACACTCACTAATTAGTTTCAAGTGGCAAATGGATACTAATGCTGATATTAAATCTCAAACAGGCTGAGTAAGGAAAAAAAGTGTCCTCTTTTATGAGATGCTATTGAATTTTGATGGGAAACATGTCTATTAGGATTACAGATTCATGAGGAGCTTTCTGGAAGAGGGTGTGGTTAGCAGAGTCCTAGCACCCAGGCCTAACTTTTGGTTAAGTCATTTGTTCAGGTGTGCAGACTATACCTTTACCCTGTATGAATATATGTCTCTGTGATTGGTTTAATAAAGAAGCTGTCTGGCCAATAGCTGGGCAGGTAGAGGTTAGGTGGGACTTGCACACAAAAAGAGAATCCTGGGAAAAATAAGAGAGGAGTCTGAGGAGTCTCATGAAGACTCAGAAAGAAGCAAGGTTAATTTGCCATGTTGAAAGAAGGTACTGACGTGTGGCAAAGAGTAGATAAGCAATATGGGTTAATTTAAAGTGTAAGAGTTAGCTAGTGACAAGCCTGATCTATCAGCCAAGCATTTATAACAAATAATAAGTCTCTGTGTGGTTATTTGGGAGCAGCTAGAGAGACAAGTGGAACAAAAAATTCAGCCTACACATGTATTAGCATCTGTTGGTATAAGCAAAGCTCACTGTGTGTTCTCTGTTGCCGCCCCAAAGCCAGGGTTGTGCCACAGAGCAAGTAGAAGTTGACATAAGAGTAAGATGCCATGGTGCCCAAAAGGAAAACCAACAAGCAGAAGGTACCTCAGGGTGTTAATAATCATAGTTTCATGAGAATGGAAGCAAGGATTGTTGGCGGACCTCACACAAATCCAAGCATGTAAATCAAGCCACACTCCTCAGCCTTAGTCTCTGTATAGTCTACACTGATTGCAAATGGTCTAGCCTTAGTCTCTATCATCACTGTGTAGTCACTGATTGCAAATGGTCTAAGATGGCTGCCACACTTAGGGATCAGAATCTTGTCAAATGTTTTCTCTTCAAGTAAGTTACAATCATTTTAGACTGATGGCTAACTTTGTATGTCTGCCTGTTGTTGTCATAATGTTGTTTTTATAAAGTTGAATTTTAATATTTTTCATGAGGTGGGTAATCTCTTTGGCTTGATTTTTACATTGTCTCTTACTTTCCTCTGAGGATTTTGAAGGATTCAAGTCATTTCCTGTTTTGGAGACATTAGTGATATATTTGATTATTTGGGTTGGGTTTGTTTTTTTTATTTTCTTTTATACAGTGTGATGTCATGAGTAGCCTATGTATTTAACTCCAAACCATTAGGAATTACTTTCTAAAAATTTTATTAAATTTAATTAATTTAAAATTACCTATGGAAATCTGAGGACAAATTATGGGAGTCAGTTTTATGCTTCAACTGTGGGTTCTGAGCTGGGGGGTGAGGGGGTAGGAGGAGCCCAGAGCTCCTAGGGGTCAGGAGTCACCAATGAAAGCTTTGGCTGGGTGGTTCTGCTTCAGGATGTCCCATGAGGTTACAGCCAAGATGGGAACATCTGTCAAAGACTTGACTAGATTGGGGAGATCTGTCTGTCCATTCACATGTCTGGAGGCAAAAGACCTCAGCTCCTCCTTGGCTGTTGCCAGAAGGCATGGTCCCTCACCATAGGGTCCTGTTCTTGGCTGTTTGTCTCCAAGTCTGCAACTAACTTTTCTCTGAGCATGTGGTTCAAATAAGAGAGCAAAGAGGGACCCACAGCACCTGTGGGATCTACTCCTCTAAGTCACTTACCATCACTTCAACTTGACTCTACTCGTGAGATCCATCCTACCCTCAAAAGATGGAGAACTTGGCTTTATCATGAAAGAAAACTATCAAAGAACCCATGAGTATATTTTAAACTACTGTCACTTGCAATTTGAAGTTGAAAAGAGAACAAAGGAAAAATGAGTTTGCAAAGGCTGCTTCTGACCTCTCCCTCCCCTCTTCCTCCCCCTTTCTCCCCTCTTCCTCCCCTCTCCCTCCTGCATGACTTTCTTGTCTTTCCATTCTCTCCAGCTTCCATTGGTTCCCATAGTTTTAGCTTCTTAGCAGACACAGATTGACTTCATCTTCCCCCTTTGCTTCAAATCTCCAACTTTCACAAAAAGACAATAATGCAGTTGGCATACCTTCCGAAACTGTAAGCAAGCCCCCAATTTTAAGTGCTTTCTTTTATAAGTTGTCTTGGTCAAGGTGTCTCTTCACAGCAGTAGAACAGTAACAATGACCATCATCAAAGGCTTCATCAATGTTCATTGAACACTTTACCCAAAGGAAAATTGCCAACAGAACATTCATTTGTTCTACTCTTCCACATAGTCTGGAATCTGCCCTGCATCAAGCCCTATTTACACCAGAGATCTGCATCCTAGACTCATTATTTTAGGCTTGAAAGTTTCTTTTCCTGACTAACTCTTGGGAGTGATGTCATTTGTTTACACCGTGGTTCAAGGCATGGAACTTGCAAATTAAGTAGAGATGCATCACAATGTGCCACAGCCCCATTTTCACAAGCCGCACCACCTGTGCATGTTCTTTGAGCTCCAGGCTAGCAACAGTGTTAATCAGCTAGTGATTTGACCACCGATGTGTGCCTATGACTATTTACTATGTATAGTTTCCATCCAAAGAAACTAGACTCGGGTGTTCTGATTGACTTGGGCTTCTCCAACACAGATGGTAATATTAGCATGTAGGACTCTGTTGTTCAAAAACATACCTATGTCCATTGGAAAATGAGGTTTACTGAGCCTTTCTGCTTTCTGTCACTAACCAGATGGGTGTTGAGCATTATGCAACACAGTACAACAAGGATTTCTGTGCATGTGATTGTTGTTTTTCATTGACTTAGCAACTGCACCTGAATCTAGTGATATTTTAACTACCTTCTGTAGCCCTGTGGCCCTGCAATCAGTGCCCCTCTGCTCAGGCCATGGGATTTCTGGTCCCACCATCACCAGCTCTGCCACTGCTGCCAAATGTAGTTTTTTAACTAAGATTCTACCATTCTATTTACCAATAAAGACTCAGGGGTCAGATGTTGGGGTGAAAACCTGCTAGCTCACAGAGGCCAAAAAGCAACCAGCTGACCTTCCTTTTTGGCCAGAGACCCAGCAAGAGAGGATCTCTCCAGTTATCCCAAACCAAGAAGACTGTGAAACTCCAAGTCCCTCCATACTCTTTTCTATGTATCTCTCTCTCTTCGTCTTGACTCCTTGGTACTCTCTGTGGCTAATTACAGTCAACTAGTTGCTAGAACCACCCCCTGACCCACAGCTGATTTTATCAACACAGTCTCATCTTTCACAGTGTGATCAAATATCCTGACACATGTGATGATGGAGGTCTACCTGGCAATAGCCTGGCAGGTCTGTGATGGTCATGGCAGATTCATTACTATGGTAAACAATGGTTTGAGAGAAGATACCTCCTCCTAGGATTCAAGTTGAAATATTACATTGCTTATTTGGCTCTGTATTGCTATCCTGAGACTACATTCTTCTCCACAGTAAAATCATGTGTCTGAGGTTCTATATGCATAGAGTAAATGAGTGGGTGACTCAAGAATGCAGAATAGGAATAAACTGCAATTATTCTCCAATCATCTACCCCAGTATTAGAATTGTTCACCTAGATGCACAAAGATATCTTCAGAAAGTCTTCAAGTGTTTTCATAACACGGTGTTTTAACAGCACTCCTAGGATATAATGCTATGTGTAGAGATGAACAGAAAGTCGATCAGGAATGTGGAAGTGCTACAGAAATCACCTATCAAAGGCTACCTTCCCAGCTGGAACAGAGCTCATGCACGCTGACATATGACATCTCTTACTCTTGGGAGCACTGAGATTTTAGTTTTCACTAAGCATAGAATAGTTTTATATTGCCAGACCTCAGCAAAGTGCATATTTGGGGATCAAATAACATGACCTTATTCACATCTAAAGTTTTGATCATATTTTTACTAAGGCTCATGAAATCGTTAATTGATTTCCTGAGAAGTTCCTGTGATTCATTCTTCTTTCCTGTGGCCCTCTTGCAATGTATCAGAACTACCTCACTAACTTTTATGACTCCAGTGCAAGATGTTGACATGTTTAACACTGGAGAATAGGGACAAACTATGAAATATACTGAACTATACTCACTGACCTGGAATGAAGGAAGCTGTGAGAGTGAAACCCCTTGAGTCCCCAGTAAGTCAAATATGATTGTCTTATCTGGTTTATCTTGGACTGGACTGTATCTGGGAGATATTTTTATCTTGACAACACTTGACTTTGAAAGGGTAATTTGCTGTTTTATATCAGAAATCCAGTGACAAGACCTAATAGCAGCTAAAAAGAAATAAAACAAAAGACTATTAAAACTGTGTTCTACTAGGAAAGAAGAGGAACTTTCTTTAGGCACTGA